GGGTGTGGCTGTGGGTGTGGGTGTGGGTGTGGGTGGGTGGGTATGGGTGTGGACATTCTATTCATCCACACCCACCCACACCCACACCCACACCCTAATAATGTTGATTTATAATGACCATGCAATAGATAAAGATAACATACTGTTAGTACTAAAAATTTGTATCAACGGAAATTCATCGTCTATCTTTTTTTACTATGATATAATACGAATCTTGATACCCTTGCTATGCCCTAACCATCAGAGCAATATATTCTGGATTGATATTTTCCGCTTTGTCATCCGTAAATATCTCGGTTTTTACGAAAACGTTTTGAGGTATTTTCGGTTTTCGATTTTCTTATATGGTTTTATTTCCCTTGGCTTCCTCTTTCAATTCTCAAAGTTTCAACTCTATAACTGATTGCGTTCTAGAGTTATTTAACTTCTTTCATCATACATTCTATTTTGAAATGAGTAATAGTAATTTAAGCCAAATTTTACTTCTCTTCTGTATACCAATTTTTACAACTCAATCTTTGTCCTCCTAGTAGAGCAAACATGTAAAAGTGATTGTTCGACTATGGTGTATGTTTCTATATGTCATTCTCTTTCTTCACCATAGTCGAGCAATAAAAAAGAAATAAGAAGACATTTTGCGTTTCTTTTTGGTTTATGCTCTTCTTTATTATAACACTCGAAAGTGCTTAAAGTGAAAAAGAGTAAAAAGGAGGAGGGAAAGAACAAAGAGAAAGAATAGAGTTAAAGATAGGAACTAATAATAAAGAATGGGGGCAGAGATAAAAATAGAGGGAAGAAGTACAATGAGATGTTAACGGTTTTCACTTGCAGAAGAAAGGATTGAAGGGGAGCCTACATAATCATTCTATCTGTTCTACACTAGTTATTTTTCTGATTGTTAAACGTTCGTGCTGTTAGAAGGAGAGAGAAGGGAGACTTCATCCAGCCCTGGCTGTTGCTACGAAGACATCGTGGAGATTAATGAACGAAATTTAATCAGATTATAAGTAATGAATGATGCTTAGCCTTTGATCTTTTAACTTTCTTCATTGAAAACAGATGGGTCACTCCGTTCTTTGAGTGTTTATGAAAGTTATTCCAAAAGAAAATATCTTCTAAGAAAAGGGAAGAGCCTAGATTGAATACATACATGTTTTTCAATCTTTTTGAGATATAGCGTACAGCATATTTGTCCAGTGGATCTTCATGAGTGAACCAGCTAAGATCTGCCACCTTTAGAATGAAGCACGATGAATGAGCCGAATCGTTACTCTAAATTTTTTGTCTAAGTGCTTTTTGTTGTGTTTGGGAGAGAAAAGGAAAGAAGGGAAAAATTCAAGCAAACTGAAAAAAGTATAGGCAAAGAAACATTTTCCTAGTATATCTTTAGACAGGGTTTTTCCTCTACGTAGCCATTTCTGTTTGCATAATGATCTTTAGATATTTTCGAAACATCTATTTACTGTAGGCTTTAACAATAATTTACTTGTCCACGTGAATTCAAAGTACTTACAGTAGTTTACACCCTCTAGTTTTTTGAATAAAAGGCTTGAGCAACTGCTTTTCCTACATTTATGGGCTGTTTTCAAAGGTTGAAGTATTGAATAATTCGGTCACAAACGTTAGAACCTTCCTGCTCTAAACACCTAACTAATGCTGGAAATGATTTTTGGAGTGAGCTCGAGTGAGCACACCCAGTTCACTTGCAAACAGATGCCCTGAGTGGACTCCTAAACCAATAAACTAAATCATTGTGGTATACTACGCAGAGATAATGGTTAAGACTACTTCCTTGGGGAAGCCACTTTGCGTTTCTCTCTTCAACATTGCACGGATGTTAGTGGTGCAAACACAAGATGATAATCCTAATCATTTTGAGAATTAATTCAAACGCGAACTGTAACAGAAAGAGCTGTGTATCTGAAAGTGAAGCAAAACTACATGAATGAGAAGTTTATTTGAACATCTTCTGAAGGGGCTGAAATGTAGCACTTGATAATACTTTTTAATTCTAAGAATACAAAAATTTCGAATTCAATTTATTTCGCTCCATATATACCAGCAGTTGTCATACGAAAGAACCGTTTCGAGATCCTTCTACCTGTTTGACTATGAGAAGATCCACAAGCCTATTTTGTAGGATTTTTAAGCATTTTTATCTCTGTAATGTTCTTTGGAGCGAGGCGTTCTTTAATAAAGTATAATCAATTACTTAAATGAGAGATGTAACGGCCAGAGCAGAATTCTGCTCTGTTCGTTTAATATTTCGAAATCTTATTTCCTTCTCTTATTTTCTTCACGTTCCTCTCTCTTGCTCTTTTGTTTGTATGGTCATGTTTTTATTTACTCTATTTTTTTCCATTCTTTAAAATTTTCATTATATACTGTTTGATTAGTTTATTGCACACAGCTATTCCATCACTCAGTGAAGATCGAAGTACGCTATTTTACGTTTCACTGATGCTATCTGCAAGATGACACTAGATTGCATTTCGTGTCGATTTTGTGCCTAATGTCACAGATTGATATGCTACTCATCGCCTCCATAAATGCCGATAACATCATTTAATCCTTGAACGTCTGAGATAGCTATTCAAGGCTTTTTGTTTTTTCAAAGGCAAATAAAATCTTGCATATTGTTTCTTTTGGCCTCTATCTCTTATCTTGCGTATAAACCCATTTATTTCGCAATCATAAAAATACGTTGTTACCACCCAAGACATACTGGAAGAGAACGCATAAAATCATTTGAGTAACGGTACGTACACCAAACTATGGAACGTTATTAGTAGCAGAACCGCCTCGGCGACGGCCTAGAATTTTTCCTCGGCTTTGATTTCATAAAATAAGGTTTTGGTCAATCTTTTTCTCCTGATAGAGAGACTCAGTGCAGCTCCCTGCTTTGGTAATTTTTGTTTATTTCTATCACTGTTTTCTACTATTTTGATATTCGTTCAATCAAAAACTGGTCAACTGTTTCTTTCTTGAAAAACATGAAAGAGTGGTGCTTTCACTTAAGACGTAACTAAACCTAGTTGTGTTTTTTTTATTGCCACCAAAACAAGAACAAAAAAAACATTGAAGTAAACGATTATTGTTCATTATGTTTGATTATAGAATACATGCCGTTTCAAATTTAGCATAAGAAGGAACTATTTTGGACAGAATAATTACATCAAAATCATCCTGAGGCTAATTATTCAAATGTTTGATATCTATGAAAGCATTGCGATATATCTAATCATAGATTTTGTATTACTATTTATTATACAAACACAAGGGAATATACACGTTCCATATTTTTGCCCCATCAGTAGCTGCGCTGATAAGCTGGCTTTCATTTCTGTTGTGGGATAGACATTGACAAAATAAGCTAGAAACAATATTGTGAGTAATTGTATCGATTGACTTTACAACTAATGAAGAAAGGTCACCAATTGTTCAATCGCTTTTAAGTCGGGACTATGTGCGTCATGTAGACCCCAATAAGGTGTGAAAAAACTCCAAAAGAATAAGAGCACCTACGAGGTAATCGCCTGAAATGACTCAGGACTTTTGAGCTGATGTTTTGCCCATAAGTAAGAACTGATGAAACTAGAAAAGCCAGAATTTCGATCTAAAATTTTATCCATATTTAGGTCTTTATGGCCCTTGTATTAACATAAAAGTCTCAGACAAAATGAATGCTTCTTTCTCGAAATATCAAATATCCAAGAAAAGTCGACTTTCTTCGCATGTCTGTGGCATTGGAGGTTTTTTGAAAGATCAATATTTAGAGAAAGAACTATTCATTTTGGCTGAGACTTTTATGTTAATACAAGGGCCATGAGTATTTTAGGTGGAAATTCTGCAGTTAAGTTTTTCCGTGAATCGCTTGTCATAGGTGGTAAACCCAGTAAAATGATTGAACTTGAGAAGAAAAGCCTATTGATCCTTATCTTTATAGGCTTTTTCAAGTTTCATCAGAACCTGCTTATGGACAAAATATAAGCCCAAAAGGCGTGGGTACTTCGGGCAATTCCTTCGTTAGGTCTTCTGTCCAGAGTTATAGGAATTTTAGCCTCTGCCATAGTATATGCTAATATATTGAATGACAGTATTCGACCTGGAATTTTTCTCATATGGAGGCCTATTTATGAGTAGAATGCTCTGAAATTTTCATCTCAAAAGAATGTTTCTTTTCCGAGATATTAACGTCCCAAAAAACAGAAAATTCTAGCATCTGTCGTGGAATATGAATGTTTTTTGGGACGTTAATATCTAATACTCTTATTCTTTTGGAGTTTTTTATAACTCATTGAGGTCTACATGACGCGCATAGTTCAGACTTAAAAGTGATTGAACAATTGATGATCTTCCTTTGTAAATATTTTAAATGTTAAGACAATGATTCTTTATCTTTGATAGTTAAAAAACGATCTACCAAAAAAACGACAATGGTTGTTACACTATTTGTACTACTGTCCTTATGTTCCTTGCACAAATCAATGGGTGAAGCAGAGAAAATAGGTAATTTTTACAAAACGAAAATCACATGATACTGAGAAGAAAATATATGTTTATTGATATGTGATAGGTACAAGAAAACCTCGTGCTAGAGATCTCTGTATTCCATTTGACGGTACACCTGGCAAATATAATGCAATAACAGATGTCGGCGGTGTTGAAGTTGGTTTTAGCACAATTATCCAAGGTGATTCTGTTCGAACGGGTGTCACTTCTATATTTCCGCGTGGAACAGATTTGACTATTTATCAGCCTCCTTGTTTTGCAAATTGGTTTAGTTTGAATGGAAATGGTGAAATGACTGGTATACATTGGTTGACAGAATCTGGTTTTCTTACAAGTCCAATTTTAATTACAAGTACAAACAATGTTGGAATTTGCCGAGATTCTATGATAAAATGGTTTCTAATAAAATCTGATTCAAATTCAATGATTAATATGGTTGATGTGGGTTTACCCATTGTTGCTGAAACGTGGGATGGATATTTGAATGATGCTTATGGATTTCATGTGAAAGAAGAACATGTATTTGAAGCATTGGAAAATGCTAAAGTATCTGGTCCATTCGTTCAAGAGGGAAATGTAGGTGGTGGAACAGGTATGAGAAGTTTTGATTTTAAAGCTGGAACGGGAACAAGTTCAAGAATAGTCGAAGATCTAAATTACACAGTGGGAGTTTTAGTACAAGCAAATTTCGGATCGAAGAAACTATTGACTATTGCGGGTGTTCCTGTCGGCAAAGAACTATTACAAATAGAGACGAATAATACTGTTCAGAATAAAGGTGCTGGATCGATTATCGTTATCTTAGCTACAGATGCTCCACTTCTACCACATCAATTAAAACGTGTGGTGACTCGAATCTCACTTGGAATAGGAAGACTAGGTGGTACTGGAGATGATCCATCAGGTGATATTTTTTTGGCATTTTCAACAGCTAACATTTCGAATGCAACTTCAACAACAACAACTGCACAATTTTTAAGAAACGATCAGATAGATCCATTATTTGAAGCAGCTATTCAATGCGTTGAAGAAGCAGTGATAAATGCAATGATAGCAGCTGAAACTATGATAGGATACAAAGGACATAGAGTCGAAGCTATTTCACATCAAAATTTGGTTAAAATATTGAAAAAATACAATAGACTTGATTGTGCCACAAATTATGTTACTCAGCGTGTTTATTTTCTCCCACTTTATCAGACCATTATCTTCTTCTCTTCTTTTCTCTATTTATCACTTTCTCTTGTTTGATCATTTCTCTCTTATATAAACGTGTGCTTAAATGAGAATAAAGCAGTGAATTTAACTACCTGCTTTATCACATCGGACTAATTATTTGATCAATAGAAAATCCATGTATGCGAAAATTTCTAAAGCGATTTCAATAAAACAAGCACGCAGTGCTGTGACATATACTAATTCAAAGCTAGCTGCATGTAATACATTAATGGGGACAAAATATTCATGGATCAACAAACGTAGGAGTTGCCCTAAAGAAGAAACCTGGTATCAAGGTGATTGCTTCTAGTCATGCAGCGATTGTGTGTGTATGTGTGCTGATAAGATGGGTGTGTGGGTGGGTGTGGGTGCGGGTGTGAGTGTGGATGGGTGTGGATGTGGGTGTGCGTGTGAGTGGGTGGGTGTGAGTGGGTGGGTGTGTGTGGGGGTGTGGGTGTGGGTGTGGGTGTGGGTGGGTGTGGGTGTGTGGGTGTGGGCTGTGGGTGTGGCTGTGGCTGTGGGTGTGGCTGTGGCTGTGGGTGTGGGTGTGCATGTTGGTGTTTATTTGATATACTCACACCCACACCCACACCCCACACCCACACCCACACCCCACACCCAC